TTTCTGAATTGCACCCGTCAACTTTTCATTGAATACAGTGAATGCTGGTTGAAGTTCTGCTACCATCTTTTGTTACTTTCAGCTTGAAAAGAATCGGGGCGAGAAGGGAGGATTCATGTCTCTACAATCAATGGCTCTGGAAGAGTCGAGAGTAGCTTCAATGATATGAGTCTTTCTAGCAGTGGGAGTGGTTTTGGAAGTGGTTCTGGGTTTGGATTGAACACTGATGTTGACTCGTACTCTAGCAAGTCAAAGGTTTATTTTGCGTCTTGTGACATTGTGCTAATTTTGTGACTGTACTTGTTATCCTATCTTTATTTAGGCTGATGATGTGAATCGTGTTTGTTAGTTGCTGATTTCTGAACAGAAAGGTTTTAATATAGTTGCCCTTTACTTTAAGAACTTTTCTTTGGTTGATGCTCCCTATGCTGCCAATTTTTTTTGTTTGCTTAGTTCACTTAACTCATTTTACTGCGTGGTACGTTTCTTAACACTTTTTGCTTGGTCATGCCAGGTCGTCCACCCTCATCTGCTACTGCACCCGCTAAAGGTCTTGGCATGCAACTTGGTAAAACTCAAAGGACAAACCAGTTTTTGGAGTCTCTGAAGGCAGAAGGTGAAGTCATCAATGAAGATGTGCAACCGAGCACAGGTCAAGTAAGAGCTGTTGCAGCACCACTAACTGACCCGATCACTCTTACTGTTGAAGAGAAGCTGAATGTTACACTGAAACGGGATGGTGGAATCAGCAACTTTGATGTTCAAGGACAATTGTCACTTCAGATTCTTAACCAGGAAGATGGGCTGATCCAAGTTCAGGTTTTCTCTCCGTCTTTTCCCCAACTTGTTTTTTTTTTTAAATCTCAAAGTTGCCTCCCCTCTGAGCACTTGGGCATGTTTTTCTAGTTGAACATCTTCCCTCTAGGTTGTAATCCATAGTCTTAATAGTTAATACTATATATATATCGTCTTTTTTTTTTTGTGCAACTATATATCGTCTTTCTATATTTAGTTTAAAGCTTTTTTATATCATTAACATTTTCAACAAAGAAGAACACTTGCATTTCACTTTGAGTTGGTCTTTTATGCTATACTACAGTTCTGTGTCACATGAAGCAGCTGTGTCCTATCGATTGGTTGTATTATCTTCAGGTTTTACTTATCTGTCCTTGAGATGTAATTATGTGATACGTTTTGACTTTGTTTCGTTCATTCAGATTGAAACTAGCCGGAACCAAGGTGTCATTTTCAAGACTCATCCGAACATGAACAAGGAACTATTTGCAAATGAAAATATTCTGGGCTTGAAGGACCCAAATAGGCCTTTTCCTACTGGTCAAACTGGTGATGCTGCTGGAGTTGGTCTTTTGAAGTGGAGAATGCAAAGTGGAGATGAGTCAATGGTGCCACTAATAAGTGGGTGCTTTCTTGTGCTCCTCTGTTCTTGTGTTGTAGTTCAAACTTATTTTCCTGTACTGATCTACTAGGTCTATTTATATTGCAGTCAACTGCTGGCCCTCTGTGTCTGGAAATGAGACATATGTCAGCATTGAATATGAATCTTCGTCCGCCTTTGATCTGCAGAATGTGTTAATCTCAGTTCCTCTTCCAGCTCTAAGAGAGGCACCACGTGTCAGGCAGGTTGATGGAGAGTGGAGGTAAAGAACTAAATTTTGTTTCTATACTAGGTGATTAAAATGTAGTGGAGTTCTCATATAACGGGAAATGACACCTGTAATAAAGTGTGTTTATCTTGAAAAATACTTTCTTGTGGGTTTAATGGAGCTTCTTCTCTAGCAGTAAGCCATAGTAGTGAATCGTCTTCTACACGAAATTAAGGGCAGTTAAAAAAAAAAGCTGGATGAAAGAGCAGTGCATAATTTTGGATGTTGTGAATCTTTGTGCATGTTAATGTGAATGCACATGTAGTTGTATGAGTGTTGGGTGCCACTGACATGTGTCTTCAAACTTGTAGGTTTGATTCCCGAAATTCGGTTTTGGAATGGTCTATTCTTCTTATCGATAATTCGAACCGCAGGTAATCTTATGTTATATGTCGTTCCTGCTGAAAGTTGAAGAATTCTGGATAGTGTATCCTCAATCTAGTTTGGATTTGACGCAGTATTTGGTTTTCACTTTTTTCTTTTTGCAGTGGATCAATGGAGTTCGTTGTACCCCCAGCAGATGCATCGGCTTTCTTCCCCATTTCTGTCCGATTTTCAGCTGCTAGCACATACAGTGATGTGAAGGTGTGTTTTTTGTGTCCTGCTATCCCTTCTCTCATTTGGGTTTTGTGATAACGTACCTAGTACCTACCCTGGCGGATGCTGAAAAAGTTGAAACATCTTAATGCTGTTGGAGTGCAGGTTGCCACTGTCATTCCTCTCAGAGGCGGAGCTCCTCCAAAATTCTCTCAGAGGACGCAGTTGATTACGGAGAATTACCATGTAGTCTGATAAGATTCACTCCGCCTCACCGAGTAAAATAGTATTACAATTTTTTCGGCTTTTAGATGGTGATTTCCTCGGTTTTTGGAAGCTGGAGTAGTGAAAAAAAGTGACATTCATATACAATCCTTAAAGTTTCTTTGTCGATTTTGAGATTGATGAGATCTGGTCCATCTTGGTATCTTGCTTATATTTGTTTTGTTTTCGGTTGTACAAATAGTTATGTGGTGGTAGGATTCTCCATCATCTTGAGAACATTGTCAATTGAGTCGTTCATATATTTTACTAAGATCAGTAACACTGCTTGTGTAGTCTGATAAGCTTTAAAATTCTAATAATCTCCCAATATTATTGGTGTACTTCCGACTTCCTGGGTGCGTGTTTTTCTAAAGTTGGATTCACAAGGTAAGAAACTGGACGTGAAAAGCCCAACCTTGGCGGAGATCTCTCTGTAGGATGGATGGCAAGTAGAAATTCTAGACTAGAGGGAGATTACCATAGAACAGAAACGACCTGGCTCGGCTGAAAAACACCCCAGTTTATAGCGAATGAATGGGAAAGTTTGAGTGCCTCGCGAAGTGAAGACTGTCATTTGTTATACGTATACTCGACCACCAAAATTTAAGTTATGACGAGAGGAGCCATAAGTGACATGGATAGTGTTTGTTGTGGAGAATGTGGCTACTAGGACCACCAAAATTTAAGTTATGACGAGAGGAGCCATAAGTGACATGGATAGTGTTTGTTGTGGAGAATGTGGCTACTAGGACGATAACATGCCCCAAAGTCATGGTAATAAGCCCTCTAGTCTCTAGATGTATCATTATGTTCTGCCGATCTGAAACAATCTTACTGAATATGATCTCATCCTATACCAATGCTATGCCAAGTGAATTAAAACTTAAAAGAGATGAGCTCATGAGCATATCAGGTGACTTCATGGTTTGACAGTTAAAAAGTCAAAGTAAAGGGACTAAAGTTGTAAATGGACCAAAGTAAAGGGAGCATGTTCGTAGTTTTGCTTTTGAAGGGAAGTTCGTTGATTTAGTTAACAAACCCGTAATATCAGCTGGATGTTGAATCTCTTCTTCCCCTAGTTGCACTGATCTTGATCCGTCCTGTTATTAGTAACGACTAACAACCATGCTTTCAAAAGGTCGTAAATCCTATACATGCTTTCGTGGCTACTGCCAACTCTCTCTCCTTGCGCCAAAGGAGAAAGGCAAGGAACGAGTGCGAGTCCGAGTCCGAGTCCGAGTCCGAGTTTTAATGGATGTCTCTCTGGCTCTGGCTCTGTCACTACCACATTTCCCCCTTCTGTCAGCACAGTGAAGCGCCAAAGCAACGTTCCTCCCATTTCCACCGTCGCCATTATCCTCAGGTAATCTCATCACTTGGCCGAGATTACTGTTGATCGCAGGCTGTTATGTTTTGATGATCGATCGGTTTGGTTGAAGGGACATCCGAGAAAGACAGAAACAATGGGGTCAAAAAAGACCGACCCTTTTCAACTGGGGAAGAGCCCCTCCATCAAGTCATGCTTCCCTGATACAAAATCAACGGATGGTTCTGAGTACAAATCTGATCAGAGGTCTTCCCTCCACTTCAGATCATATTCTTGTGATGTGAGGGATCTCTCTCTCCAAACTTTTCTCCCATGTCTTCCCTAGATCGCTCAGCCAATCTAGTCATGTATGATAACGCACTCTACTCCAATAATCGGAACCCAAACTTGGAGCCCTCGAGTTCCCCTTTCTCAGGAGTGCGGCGAAGCCTAGACATTCAGCTGCCTCGTGCTTCACCTGCTCGGACCTCCGGGGATCGTAAGGTGGCTGGGTTCCACCCTGTCTTGACGTTGCAGGCCTCAAATGAGAATTCGGCTTTAGATATGAATGCTCCAACAGATATGAAATATGAAGGAGCCAAGTTAGGTATGGTTCCAAGAGTAAGCACAGAAAATGTTTGATGTGTGTGAAAACACTTGTGACATTATTGGGTGTTTATGGGATGATGGTTGAAACTTTGTGCAGGGGAGAAAAGATTCAAGGGCCATCAAAGACATGTTCCGCTTTACCTAGCTGCACTTAAAGGCGATTGGAGAACGGCCAAGGCTTACCTGCAGTGGCACCCCACAGCTATTCGCGCTTACATCACGAGGGGGCTAGAAACTGCACTTCACATTGCAGCTGGTGCAAGGCACACTGTGTTTGTTAGAAAGCTGGTTAAGAAGATGACAGTAGATGACTTGGCTCTGCAGAACAAGGTAGGGAATACAGCCCTGTGTTTCGCTGCGGTTGCTGGTATCACAGAGACAGCAAAAGTGTTGGTGAACAAGAACAGAAGCTTGCCGCTAGTTAGAGGCAGTAAAGGAGCAACGCCTCTCTATATGGCTGTGCTTTTGGGGAAAAGAGATATGGCTTGGTATCTCTACACTGTTACAGAGGACAATGCTCTTTCTGGAGAGGATCGAATCGGACTTCTTGTTGCTGCTATCACATCTGATCTATTTGGTACTTTGGACCTTATCTTCTTCTATTACTTGTTAAGCTACTAATTTCATGTTGCCGTTTACTAGTCAGCAGATATACATAGAGAGATATAGATACTAACCATATCTGGAGAACTTATGTTTCCACCAGATGTAGCTTTGGTTCTGCTCCGTGACCATCCAGAATTAGCTACAGCTCGAGATGCAAACGGTGAATCAGCTCTTCATGTGTTGTGCCGAAAGCCAGGAGCATTTTACAGTGGAACTCAATTGAGCCTTTGGAGGAGATGCATCTACTCATGTTAGTTGGGCCTTCCGCCTTCTGCACTATTTACACATTTCGTCGTTCTAACGTGAATCAGTAACATGGCCCCTGCCGTCCCTTGTGATGATGCTATGGGGGATCATGTTCCAGAAATCACGTTGTGGTCAATACTGAATCAGAATTGTAAAAACTATATCATGGATCTTTGTATATGCTTTACATGATCAAGATTGCTGAGTACTATTTCATGGTATCTTGAAGGTATCCAGGTGCCGTTTATGGGGTCCTCTGGTTCTATACAAGATGCTCGTCTAGCCCGACGCATTCTCCAAGGTACTTTCTCTCTCTATCGCTAGCAACATACACAGAACTCATACAAGTGCATGTCTTTTGACAGGCAAAAACAAATTGAGTCTGTGCCTGCAGTTTCCTTTACTTGGAACCCAAGAGATCAGGGATCAAATCAAACGCACTCAAACCTTAATCTATGACAAACTATAGACTATGTAACCAACTCAAAGAAGTGAAAGTGTTTCCGAAAATATGTAAATATTGCAGCTTTTTGTGCAAGAGAACACTTGCCAGCCTTGTGCTCTTGTGATGACGATTTACAGTCTTGTTTCCTCTTTTGACATCACTAATTTTTGTGCTCTCTTATGACGACATTACTAACAACAAAACCAGCAATAGGAAGAAGTGTCGCCCATCTGGGTAAGTTAGTAGCATCTTCTCATCTTGCTCCCTACTTTCTGTAGCTGAACTGCCTTGACAGACTATTGGAACCTTTCTGCAGTCCCGGATGCTACTCTGATATACAACATGAAGCTGAGTCACACAGAAGCCCTTGAGCTGGCAAAGCGACTTTGGGATCTGGTATTGCATCTAGACAACGCGAGTGTTAAAGAGTTCATCAGAACACCCACACAGTTACTTTTCACAGCTACAGAGGCCGGAATGGTAGAGTTCTTAACCATTCTGATTCGGTCTTACCCCGACCTGATTTGGAAGGTTGACGAACATTCTAGAAGCATATTCCACCTGGCGGTGGTGCATCGACAAGAAAAGGTCTTCACTCTTATCAATGAGATAGGGGCACTCAAGGATTTTATAGCTATTTATAAGGATGAAGAGAACAATAACATGTTGCATTTGGCTGGGAAGCTTCCCCATCCAAGTCGACTGAACACGGACAATGGTGCAGCTTTGCAGCTGCGACGTGAGATATTATGGTTCAAGGTTTAGATCCAATTCCTTGTGCTTTGAAGCTTGATTCTTCTTTCTGGTAGCTGTTAACTAAAATGTCCTGACTTGGGTTACTTTCTCTGCAAGCCATGAATGCAGGAAGTGGAGAAAATTGTGCAACCGCTGTATACCGAGATGAAGAATGCAGATGGGAAGACTCCTCACGATCTGTTTGCAACAGAACACAAGAAACTGGCAAGAGATGGGGAGAAGTGGATGAAGGAAACTGCATCTTCTTGCATGGTCGTCGCAACACTCATCACCACCATGATGTTTGCAGCGGCTTTCACCGTCCCCGGTGGAAACGACCAGGAGACGGGCATGCCACTATACCTCCACACCAAGTCGTTCTTGTTCTTTGCTATATCAGATGCACTTGCCTTGGTCTCTTCGGCAACATCCATCTTGATATTCCTTTCCATGCTGACCTCGCGATACGCCGAAGAGGACTTCCTCTCGTCACTACCAAACAAGTTGCTCACTGGGCTTCTCACCCTTTTCATCTCTATCGCCACCATGATGATGGCCTTCAGTTCCACCCTCTTTATGACCCTTGGATATGGGTATACCTGGACTACTGTGACCATCACAGCTGTTGCTTGTGTCCCTGTCACAATGTACGCTTTCCTGCAATTTCATCTCGTAGCTGACATCGTTAGTCATTCTTATACCACCAGTCTCTTCCTGCATCCTAAAAACTGTTTGCTGGGCTGAAAAGAGAACTATAAGCACCATTTTCGAGCATCACATCAAATATGGCCATCACAGTAAAGGTTTATACCCTGTATATAGCAATTTTGATTTGATAGAAGTACATAGATTATAGGCACAAATTCAGCATTTTCATAGCGTTCCTCTTCCTTTCTTTGCTCCAACAAACAACAAGCTTTTGAACACAAGAAACTGTGAGATTCCTTTAAGCTCTGATTCTCTTTCTGCAAGTAAGCTTAATTCTATGTTCTTTCTAATCCAAGCTTCCATCTTGTCCTAAAAAATTTAGCCTATAAGCTCTGTAGTCTAGTAAAAACTACTTACTTCCTTCCAACCTTCCATCTTCTACAGCTCCTTTTTGGCTTCTAGTTCCTCACTTTCTTCTACAGCTTTACCTCCTCCGATGTCAGCCACAGATTGCTGATCATTTCGCTTGGACACAATCTGCCCCACCTTAGCATATTTCTCAACGAACTTGTCCTCCCAATCCTGAAGAACTTCAAGCTCGGAGGCGCCGAGGCCTTCAAGATCCGCCGTCAGATCACGAGGGTCAAATGACAAGAGCGCCAAAGCTCTCGCCGCTTCTCTACCGGCGAAGATTCCGTACGGACCCCCTGGCCCGTAGAACATCCTGCACAAAAATTGATCAACCCCCAATTTCAATTTCCGGTACCTGAAACCAATTGAAGTTTTCCGATGAGCCCTAAACGTACCTGGAGCGGGAAACGTCGTAAATCTGGCCCTGGATTGCCATCAGAAGTGGCTTACTTGGATCGGAGCCGTTGTAAGCTCGCAGTTCTTCCTCGGTGACATCCCCCAGCTGGACCGGATCGGAAACCGGCGGAGGGTCCGTCAGGCTCGGAGGGAGGACGCCGACGCCGTTGACGGTAGGGGGAGTGTTGAACTCGTCGGGTCCGACGAACATGCCGCACACCGTCTTGTAGACCATCACCGAGAGAGCTAGGATGGTGAAGAAAGCAGCCGACGAGAGGCCGGTGTAGGCGTGGATGGCATCCATCAAAGCTGCGTAGAACCCCATTTGGCTTCTTTGCTTCTAACCGGCGAATAGTGTGCTTTCTGATGGGTCGCCGGCGAGGGAGGTCAAGGGTGTGAAAAACACGAATCAAATACGAATGAACTGAGGAAGTAGGTAGATCCGATTCGTGGAGCCTCGTTAAGCAAGAGAACGTGCGGATGGGTGGTAAAGATCACCTACCACCGGTACTCCGGTAGGCTCAGCTTCGGTAAGTGACATTAGACATGTCTAGGGATGGCAATGGGTCGGGTTGGGTCGGGTTTTGCCAAACCCAAACCCAAACCCATGGGTTTATCTTTGAAAAAAACCCGGGGTAAAACCCATTGGGTTTGAAAAACTCAAACCCAACCCAACCCGTTGGGTATCCGCGGGTTCATGGGTACCCACGGGTTTTGTCGTAAAAAATTTACAATTACAAGTTCTTATCAAAATTAAAGTCAAATCAATCTCTCAATACAAATTATCCATATATAAAACACCAATCTAGAAAATTCAAGCAAATCACAAATAAACTATACAAATTGTTCAACACCAATCTAGAAAACTCAAGAAAATTGAAGCAAATCACAAATTATTCACAAATAACATGTTTAATTGAAAGCTTCTTCCTTTCAATTAAGTTTCTTTACTCTCCACTCCATAACATCAACTTCATTTCTACACAATTAAAAAGAAAAAATTAGACATGTCTCCACAAACATAAATAAGATTAGTTGTTTAGAATATTAAATATACCGAAAAAATTAATTATATGAGTGGGCGGGTACCCACGGGCCGGGTTTACCTAAACCCAAACCCAACCCAACCCAATGAATAGTGAACGGGTTTAAACCCAAACCCGACCCAAAACCCGTCAACACGGATTTTACCCGCGTTGACCGGGTTGGATCGGGTGGGTACCCGTGGGTTCGGGTTTTGTTGCCATCCCTAGACATGTCAACCTCTCAGCAATGGAGTTTTGCAAGTTATTGGTAAGAGTTTGTACACTTGGAGCATTCAGGGATCCTAAATTCCTAATAGAAGCCTCGAATTGGGTAAATTGTGGAGATTTAAGAGCTTGTTTGCTTGATGGATTTGGTGATAGATTTAGATTTATCATGGACTTTATCCAAAATTCAGTGTTTGTTTGATGCATTTAGGGGCAACAAATCTGTGGGTTCCACAAACTTTAAGGGTCCAAATCCGTGAATCTCACCGACTTGAAAGTTTCATCTATTTAGGTGAGAATTGATCATGGACTTTGAAGTCCATCATTTAAGACCAAACTATCTCTCCTATTTCATTTCTCTTCTCATATCAATGAGAGCAATATAGGTAAATTTTACTTCATACATACAAATTTAATTAACCAATTCCATCATGAAATCTATGAAACAAACAATGATATTTTTCAAGTCCATGATGAACCTAAAACCCTCATACATCCATGGTTTTACAAAACCCAACTTTTACCAAAACCTTCATTTTTCAAATCAACGAAGCAAACGACCTCTTAGTCCATCGATTGAACATGATATAATTAGTGTCAGTTGAATTAGCATTGATGTGATTGATTTAGAGGGTTGTTATTTGCCGCCCGTGTGTTTATTATTTGTCGCGTCGTGTATTAAATTGAAATTACATTTTTGCCATCTACATTTTTTTTATGTTCTATTCCATTGAAGATTTTTGTAACCAATCAAATAATCCTACCCTCACACCACCACCCAACCGAATGCAAGCCACGGCTGACGCAGAACCACCATCGTCGGACGAAATAATCGTCGGCGAGCGGACCACCTCGTCGTCAAATCACATCGTCGGACGACGACGGCATAGTATGCGTCTTTTTTCGTCTATTTTACCCCGTCCGCTCGTAGGTGTCGGACGCCGTCCGAAACAAGCGGGCGGACCCCATCTGCCGCCGACGAGCGAACGCTATTTTCTGTTAACTTAAATTTATTTATATTTTATTTTTATATTTGTAGAGTTAAATAAATTACTTCACAGAGTTTTATATGTTATCTTAGTTAGCTATTTATGTTAGTTATGTTTATTTTAGAGTTAAATATTTTATTAATTTTAGAGCTAGTTTAGATTTAATTTATTGCATTTAGTTATATTTTACCGAGTTAATTTCGTTTACTTTTAATTAACTTATTGTGTTTAGTTTTATTTTGTAGAGTTAAATAAATTATTGTGATTAGTATTAATTGTTTATATTTAATTAAATTACTTATCGTTAGATTATCATTATTTTTTGTAGAGTTAATTAAATTATTGGGTTTAGTTTTATTTTGTGGAGTTAATTAATTTTGTATTAATTGATTCATTATTTAGTTGTGTTGCATCATATAATTTGCCTCTAATGAGTTATAAAATCATAATTGCATGTAGACATGGCTTACAACGTTGAACTAACAGATGATTGATTACACATACCATTTCCTCAACGGCGTCCAATATGTTAATTTCAAAGATGCTGTAACAGTGACAAAAAAACATCGGGATGTCTCTTGGTTTCTTTCTAATTAAGGGCTCGATGAAGCCACGTGAGTTGCGTAACAAAAGAAAGCTACGTATGTGTTATAACTTATATGTATTGCGACAGATGCAGTAGGGAGAGGAATTCATACAAGCCGGATTTGACCAACGAGAGTCGTGGCAATACAAGTTCAAAAGGGAGCGGTTGCATGTTCAGGGTTAAAATTAAAGAACTACTTTTTGATCCAGAGGCTCTTGGACCGACATTCTGGAGATACAAGAAGTGATTGAAATGGAAACCGGTTTGAGGCGAGGGTATCACAATCAAGAGAAGATGTTTTATCCGGAAGGCCATAGTCAGATGAAGAAATTCAGTCAGGAGGATAAAGAATCTATCAAGCAAATGAGAGATGTTGGGATATCTCCGGCGAAACAGAAGCAGACAATGAACATGCAAAAGGGTGACAAAGGGCATCACACCAAAAGGCAATTTTATAACCTCGGGTCCATGTTTAGGAGAGACGAAATGGGCGAGATGAATGCAGTCTAGTATGCGTTGCAAGACGATAACGACGTGCTGACCCATCTTTTTTTTTTTTTTTGCCCATCCGACTTCCATCCAGATGCTGAAAGCTTGGCCATACGTGATTCTCATCTACTCAACGTATAAGACCAATGCGTATAAAATGTCGTAGGTGGAGATCGTAGGTGCTACTCCCGTTGGGAAGAATTTCAACATATGTTGTGCTATCATGAAGGAGGAGACAAAAGAAGCGTATCATTGGTTGTTGGTGTGCATAAAACTATTGCTCAGTCCACACATACCCACTGCCATCATCACCGACCATGAAGGTGGACTACTTGCTACAGTTTCTGGTGTCTTCCCCTACACCCCACATTTGCCATGTGTTTGGCACATCAACACTAATGTGCAGGCGAAGTTTATGAAAATATTTGGGAAGGACAAGATGAATTTGGTCAACGAGCCTTACAATGAAGGTTGGTGACCTTTGCTTTATTCTTGGTCCGAGCAAGGTATGTTGGCCGCGTTTGGCCGCTTTACGGTGAGATGGAGTAATGACAATCCACATCTGTTGGAATACATACATCGAGTGTGGTGGCCGCATCGAGAGAAGTGGGCAGTTTGTCATACCAAACAAGTGTTTCATCTAGGAAATACGAGCACAAACAAGGTTGAGTCATCACATTCATCATTGAAAACTTTCCTTCACAACTCGAGGGGGTCTACAGACAATGTATGGATAGGAAACCACCGCTACATTACTAACCAACTCGGGGAGGTTAGGATGATGTTGGAAAACTCTTGACAAAAAACATGAAAAACAAGTCGGGGAGCACAACGTCGGGGTCTTCAAGGTCTACGAAGACCAAGTCCACGGGGACTCAGATAGACGAGTACCCGTCAAACGACCAGGCATTTGATGATCATGATAATCCCGATTACAACAACAAATTTAACAGTCCTAATAGAGGTACACATTAGTAAACCATAAGTATTGTTATTTATCTGATATTATGCAAAATTTGTGCTGATTCTCTATCCATGACGCAGATATCCTTGGAACCAGCAGGCAAGCGGAATACGCACACTTGCATCTACTTCCTGTCTTCGTTCGGGACCTTGTCATTTCCATCCACGACCCTATGCTAGACGGTCATTGTGGGTTTCGTGCACTTGATTTTGCATTATATGGTAATCAAGATGGGTTTCCAGATGTGAGGCGACTCATCGCTGAAGAAATTTGTCAGCACGACTGGCGATATGCTAACATGTATGGCGCGGATGTGGTTGCGGCAATCACTCGCATTGACATTGCTACTCCACATCCAATGACCAGCCATCATTGGATGATGGGTGTGGATCTATTCGTATTTGCCACGATCTTTAACTTGGCTGTTGGCATGTACTGCAATATCCTCCACCCCACACCAACTACGTACAATTGTACCATCCTGCCAGTGGACAACCTATCTAGGGCAACCGGTCCTAGAGAAGTCATTGTTGTGCATTTCGCCCAGGATCATTGGCTCAACCTCTCTTTCCCGGCTAACAGGATACCGATGCCCCCTGTACACTACATGTGGGAGGGTGGTAAACAAGATAGCATCATTGGATGGGATAAATATTTTAAGCAGTTTAGTCAGCTGTGGTTAGATCTTGGGGGTGGCCAGTCAAGCGGTCCATGGCGCAAATCCAAGGGGGTCCCAAAAAAATAAACTTGTAATCAAGAGGGAGCCCGATATACCATGATTCAATAATAAAAATATCCAGTTATCTCAGGTTGCTTACGTCACAAGGAAACATGTTGTTTTTACTACATGATATAATAAAAACATCTCAAGTACAACAGAAACACATAAGTCATAGTCAGATACAAGGAATAATAAAAGTATTAGGAGAACAACAAATATAACATAAGTCGTAGGAGAACAACATAATAACATAAGTCATAGTCTAAAAACAACAAACGACACTCATAAATAGTCACATAACAAACATCAAGCTACTGTGGAGGTGGTAGAAAACTCGACCTCCCCCTGAACTCGGACCACATGCTCCCAACTCCATGACATAAGTCATAGTACTCGTCGGACCTAGCATGCAACTCCTCCCTGCTACCCTGTGCACCATCCATCACGGGAGCTATCTCCAACCACATCTCGCGTCCCAACTATAAGAAAAAACCAGACAATTTAAATACATATTAGTTGCAATCAAACATAATTTTACTTAATACAACAAAATTTCAAATATGATGGTACTAACTGCATCAGCATCCACGAACTCGCGACGAGGTCGGCTATCACTCAGTATATGTGGGTGCGAGTGCCTACGGTACCACTCCAAGTAGTCGTCAGGAACCTCCCATGGCCTACGTCGTACCGGAGTACAAAAAAGTCCAGATGCACACTATGGCCCCCTAGGTTGTTCCACCACGAATCATAAACAGACTGGTAGCTAAGAGAGTATCCAATCGTGGAAGCGGTTTGACTCACAACAAGCGGACGCTCCGGCTGATATGGTACTCTACACGTAGCCTAAATGTCAGAGGAATCTAGTGGGATCATATGGCTCTACTATCTCTGCGAATCTAATCATTATCTGATACAAGGTACGTCTCACGCTCAGATGAGGCCTCAGACCATAAAGAGTCCAAACAACCTGATGTGGGGTCAATCGCCTAACGATACTAAGCCAGCATGAGTGTATCCTTCTTCTTTGTCGACTGAGGTGAGATAACATGCCACATGAGTGCCCCCTGTCTTCCCTTGCTCTAGGTGTCGTGGCTCCAAGCGACTAGGCCTCAAGGTAGGAAAGTGGTCGTAAATCCAACACTGTAGTAAAGTCAGACAACCCGCCACTCCCTTAGCCTCCGCCTGTGAGGCACTACCAAGCTGCCTATATAGATAAGCAAGTGCTCCAGCCCCCCACGCGTACTCTCCCAGTATCTCTGCCCTCTTCACAATCAAGTTGATAATAGAAGAAACGCGGTCCTTACTGTTATCTACGAACAATGTGGACCCCAACAACAGAAGAAGGTAATACTGAGCCTCTCTAGTTGGCGAACTAACCTCCTACAAATGAGCCAAAGCTGACACACCTAACAAACCATGCCCTCTGTACCACTTAGAATATCTGGCAACCTCTCCAACCTATGCCCCATAGCCCAAATCCGCACGATCCACCCCAATAGTGCTCGCATGTCATCCTCCAGTGACATCTTCTCCAACTGCCTTAGACCCACTGCCATCGCCTCTTCCTCAACCGAAATGTCAAGGGATGTGCACCACGTCGTGAAGGAGGATCGTCATCTCTCCAAACGACATGTGGAAGGTGTTGGTATCCGACTGCCACCTCTTCACAAATGCTGATATGAGAGCAGTGTCCAGCTCGCTCTGAAAGGTGATATCTACGAGGTGAGCAAGGCCCGATGTCTCTAAGTACCCAAGCATGAGAATATGAGATCTCGTAACCCCGTAGAACGTGCTGAAGTGTCGTACTCCTATCGTAGCAAGTGATCATCCCTCTATCAGTATATCCCGTGTAAAGACGGTGGACAACATGCACAAGAAAACTACGGAGCAAACTCGGGTCGCTCGGCCCTCCAACACACGGTCTTCTAAGCTCCCAGGCCTCTCTCACATCAGCATTACCCCATCTAGCCCTCACCGGGTTGTGGAGCTCTGTAGAAATGCCGCGCGTGGTCTCTATAAATCCCAGTAACGACGTGTGACGATTCGCTGGCGGTACCTCTATCTCTGATCGGATTGCCTCGTGGAATGCGATCCTCAGCAGCATCTGACTCATACTACTCAGACTCGTTGTCAATCTCGTCTAAAGGCTCAAACGGTGAAGTATGATGATCCCTCGTCCCAAAGTTGTGACTGGAACGACCTCTACTACCAACCATACTAGCCAACTGAAAATTAAACTGAGGAAAGCCATCTTCCCACAATCTCATCAGTGGCTCTAGGTGATGTGGTTGTGGTTCATTCTCAGGCTCTAACTGCTCCCCCGACCTATCTCTACGCTTTGACTTCTTATTATTTCTATATTTCTATCACTCATACTAATGTTAGGCCCATTAAATCTCCACAATTTCTTTCCTCTTCCTCCAGCATAGCACCTGACGCCATCTCTAAACATAGTAAATAATTATATATTAATCTCTTATAATAAATTAAGCAATGTATTCACAATTTTTTACCATAGACTAATTATGATACATACAACTTATTAACTAATTAATTTAGTTAGATAGTTATTTCACTAAATACGATAGACTATTATTTTATGAAATACGAAATATAGTTTTTGCTACTTTAATTAAATACACAATTATTTAGACATATAAAATCAATATAATAAATAGTTATTTAACTAATATTAAATACTAATTATTCAACTAACTAATTTACCAAATTGAATATTTTCAAATTTAAATAGAAGATTTGTCCATAATTGAAAAATCGAACATTTTCACAATTAAATACTCATTATTTAACTAATAATTGAATTTCTATAACTTGTTCACAATGTTATATCTTTTTAACTATTGGAAAATTGAACATTCAGACAATTAAATAATTAACAAATTATGAACACTATTTAAAATCACTATTTTACATTTACGATTTAGTAACTAACAATTAAATACTAATTATTATATTAACAATCTAAATATTACTTAAATAGTATTTTTTGCTAAAAATAAAAATATGAATATAATCAATTGGACAGGTCAGCCTGTAGCCTAACCGGTCTGGTCCGTACAGGTGGACGGCGTCCGACCCGTCCGCCGACTGCCGCTTCTATCAATTACCGGCAGGAACCCAAAAATACTTCTAGGTCGGCGACGGCGACGATAATTGACGCGGGGTGGGTGGCTGCGACGAGGGGCCCGCGACAACTGCGGTGGTTGGTGGCTGGCGGCGGAGGGTGCAAGGTGGACGGCGGCGGAGTGTGGTGGACGGCGACGGAGTGGGGAAGTGTGGTGGACGGCGGCGGAGTTTCAACCGGGCGGCGGCGATCTGTGGGAAGGAGTAACAAAAGTGGGAGAGAAGGGAAGGGAGGTGAGGGGTTGTCGGGTTGGGTTGGGCTGGGGGTAGACAGGTTCAGGATTTTAAATTAGATAATGGGCAAATTCGTCATATTTTTTGTAACTACGGGCGGCAAATAGTAAAAGTACAAGCGGCAAATAGCGATTCACAAGATTTAGACTTCTAAATAAAATAATATCCTTTTAATGAGTTTAATTTAAAAATAAAAGTTAAATGTTGATATTATTTGTTGGATTCAATTATAAATATTTGGATGTTGACGTTAAAAATTGTATTTAGATATGTGTATTTGTTATTTTTGTTTGAAATGTTGTATGTTCTTTAAATATGAATGTAGATTGTCTTGGAATATTTTTTTATTTATGCTTAAATTCATTTGGTTTTTATTGGTTTTCACATTTTTACATATTTGGTTAACCGGCATGAATCGAGAAAAACAATTTGTATCTCGGTCGAACCATATCACTTGCTAAACCAACATAACGATATAAACCCAATTGACAACCTTGTTGGTGATTGAAGAAAAGAATTAGGTAGTCTTGTGGTTAGGTTTATGATATGTTTCATGATATTTGTGGTCAACTTTGTGAGTTTTTTTTTTTGTTTGCAACGAACTTGTCATCAACTTCGATTTTTTTGTGTGCTTTATCAGTTTGGTGGACTGGTGAGTTTCTATTTTGTTTTATGAGATTTTTGTTATACTTTTATGTGTTTTTTGGGTAATGTCTATTTTTTATCAAAAGTTTTTTTGGATTCTTTTTTGTTAGCCAAACCTATCGAAATACTAAGAATTAACCAAATATTAACTTTCAGTTAGCAATTTTGTTAGTAATATTGACTTGGCAACATGATACTGACTTGGAAGAGACACATGAAGATCAACATTCCAAATTTTACTATTTTAACTAAGAAAATAGTTACAAAATTATTAACGATAACGTAAAAATGGTTAATATTTTGATGCATTACGAAAGATTTGGCTAATTAATAGCACTTTAATAGGTTTAGATAATATAAAAGAATCTAAATTTTTTTTGGATAAAAATTAGATATTACCCTTTTTTAACATAGTCAGAACCAATCGAAAGTCCGAAAACAAAGTCAGAGTACAGAGATTAACCACGGGCGGAAGTCGACTAATCGTCGAACTTCCGATGAAAGAGCTTTTTGGCGACAAAATGGGTTGCTCTATTAACTCAACGAGTAACATGTGAACAAGTACAAAACTCAAGTAATATGGCCAGCTTGTGGATGTCTTCTATGATTGCTCCTCTGGTGGCATGTTGAGTATCTTCAGTGGCGGCCCAAAAAATTTACTTAGGGGTATCCCCTTTTAAAAAATAAATTAAATAAAAATAATTCTTAAATAATCAATACAAATTAAATAATTTTTAAATAAGAAAATACATGACTCGTACAACTTAAAAAGGTCCACTATGTGTTTTCATATCCGGAAATAATTGTAGAATACACTTGGTGCCTACAATGTTCAAATTTTTTGTCTTTGTGTATCCTACTAGACAATCATTCACGAACTGATCACATATTCTATTTGTAAACTTGTTTTTTATGTAATCCAAAGCTGAAAACAAGGTTCAAAAAGGCGCTAGGCGTAAGGCGGGCGTTGAGCCTTTGCCTTGCGCCTAGCTCGCCTAGGCGTAGACTAAGCGTGTCTAGGCGTTAGAAGAAAAATAGCTATTCGCACTGCATGATGAGTGAAATAATTATCTACTACACTTCCTCACTTCAGTTAAAATGATTAATAACTTACTCAACACTTAATGACAAGAACATAGCTCACGAATTCATAGAATCATAGCTCAATAGCTCACAAAGTTCTTGAACTATTGAAAATATTGCAATAGAAAATTGATTTCGTAATTGATGTTAATTTTTGCCTTTAATATTGACTTACTAGCTCCATCTAGTAATGTTCAGGAGAGACTTATATGTCGCCTTACTCCATGATGTGTTCCAGTATCTAATTAGGCGTGAAACCTCTAGGCGAGGCGTTTTGCCATTGCCTTGCGCCTAGGCGTGCCTAAGCGTAAGATTAAGCGTGCCTTTTTTAACCATGGCTGAAAAGACTCTTACAACACTTTTCATACAACCATAAAATCAATACAAATTAATGGTTGTTTGGAATTTTTTTAATTGTAGGTTTTGAAAATAATTAGGGATAGTGAATGACATTTTACTATTACACAGTGTTTAAAATCGACCAACATATGAGTTGTAGGCTTGTAGCTTAATGAAAATTAGGGATAGTGAATGACATTTTACTATTACACAGTGTTTAAAATCGACCAACATATGAGTTGTAGGCTTGTAGCTTAATGGAAATTATGTTTATTAATAATAATAGTGTCATAGGTTTGAATTACCCAAACTACCACTTATATTTCCAATTTTCCATACCCAAACTAGAAGATGAGAAGAGGATAATCATTTTTTTCAAAACAACCACACATGCGTGGGTCCGCCCCTAAGTATCTCCCGCCAACACCCGCTGAATAGTCAGAAGAGAAGTGTCACGGCAGTTGAGGAAAAATAAATTATGAGATAAGAGCCATTATAAGGAGTGACGTAATGCCAAAATATCTGTAAGAAAAGCGTTAGCAAGGCCTTCATAGAACGTACCCATGGAAAACACGATCATACCAGAATTGTCATGTCCCACAAAAGCAATACCTACTCCCCGCTCACAACTCTGTTGGGCTGATAATTTTTAAAAATGAGAAATGCGCCCCTCCATTTAAAATCAATATTAAATTGTAGTCAACCTTTTCAATATTAAAAGTCAATAAAAGGAAATATTTGGCTTGATTAATTGGTAGTATCATGCTAATAAATTAGGTTTTAGCAATCTAATTCATCATAATCAATAAGTCTATCAAAACAACCACATAAAATATATAACTTATTTGTGGTTAATTGATAGGAATACAGAAATATAAACATTGTATATGAATAATGAGACATTTGTTTTTGTCTCTCAATAGAAAGAAGAACAAAAAAACTCACTCTAACGAATTACTTTACAATAGAAACAAACCCCATAATTAAGAGTAGTATTTGGGGATAAACCGTGTAAAGTTTTTATCATATTGAAAGTTAGTAACATCAAAGAGAACTAAGAACAAACTTAACTGATTTCGTGGGTTTCATTTCATGGCGTCTCTAGTTACAGGCCTCGCCTTCCCTCCCATTATCACCAAAAATCTAACACAGCCGACGAAGCACATGAACATTGATCACAAGAACACCGACTTTAACCAATCCATCCGCTAAATGAATAAGGGGGATAAAAAAAACAGGACAACCAAAATGAAACACAACAAAACCAGCAAAGCCACCGGTGACCGGGCGGCAGGCCGGAGCTACCAAACTGCAGCAAACCCAAAAATTAACCCCCTCAAACTAAAAACCCAACACCACCATTCCCTAATTCAACATTCCCACTTCTCTATAATCTTTCATCTCACCACATCGGAGAAACACAATCCCTGCAGAAAGCAAAACATATCCATTCTTCTTCACCAATTCCCTCCTCAATTTTAGACGATGACGATGATGGCCGCGAAAAGATCCCTCCGCCTCGCCCGGGCGGCCATCTCTTCCGCTAAGCTGAACCCACGGCCGAGAACTCTCAGCTCGGAAAGCGGCGGCGGCTCATCATCAACCATCGATTGGAAGGCCTCCCTTAGAGAACAACTCAGAAACTCCAGCTCGGAACAGAGCAGCTCTGTCTCCATCTACAGAGTCCCCGTCACAATGCGCCAGGTGGAGCCCTCCGCCTACACTCCGAACCTCGTCTCCATTGGCCCTTACCACAACGGCGCAACCCACTTGATGGAAACGGGAGACCAGCTCAAATGGCGCTTCGTCAGCCGCCTCTTCCGCTCGAACCGGGTTGAGCTGGACCCGGTATTCGATGCCCTGGAGAGCATGGAGGACGAGGCGAGGAGCTTCTACGCCGACGATGTCAAAATCGACGGAGAATTCGTGCGAACGATGCTATTGGACGGTTGCTTTGTGATCGAATTGCTGAGGGAATTGGAGAAGTACGGGTTCAGAAACGGCTCCCCGATGATACAGAAATGGATGCTGCCGAATCTCCGTCGGGATTTGATCATGCTTGAGAATCAACTCCCCCTCCCAGTCCTCCAGATGCTTTTTCGATTGACGGAAGGCGGGAAGGGATCGGAGGATTCTTACAGGGATTCGTTGCTGAAGCTGGCACTTCGTTTCTTCAGTCCTCTGTTGCAGAGGGAATCCCCTGAAGTTTTTCCCAAACTTCAGGGGGGAAAGGTCCAAGAAACCCATCATCATTTCCTTGATTTCTTCCGCTCCAGGTAATGCAAGTTTGAATCTGTTTTCAACCAGATAATTGATTTGATCGAATCTCATACATGGTTCCGCTTCAAACATCATAATTAGGATCCTTCCAAGAGAAGCCATAGAAGCAGAAGCTTTACACGCTCCCCTGCCCCGCCGGATACCGGAACCTCATCGTCACTGCCACCAGGAACCCAACATGATACGATCAGTGAAGGAGCTGGCGAAGGCAAGGATGTTCGTGGGGAAAAGGAAGAACAACAGGCCGTTGGACGTGCAATCGGATGGCAACCGGCTCGTGATACCACCCATTTACCTGGAGGACGGCAGGGGGACTCTGTTCAGGAACATGGTGGCCTTCGAGCAGTGCCACGGAGGGTGCAAGCCCCAAGTGACCGCCTACGTGTTCTTTCTCAATGGTCTCATCAACTGCGAGGAGGATGTGGCTTTGTTGACGAGGAAAGGGATCATCCATCACACTCTGGGTAGCAATCGGGAGGCGGCTGACTTGGTCAACGCCCTGACCAAGGAGGTCGTGGGCGGGGACACTAGGGAGTCATACCTTCAGCGTGTGCTTGTGGTCGCCAATTCGTACATGTCCACCACTTACGCCGTCATGGGAGCCCCGCTGGTGGATAAGTACTTTGGGAATTGGGTCATGGCTTTGTCGACCCTAGGGTTTTGTATCTATGAAGCTCCTAGTTTCATGGCTCGGGTCCGAGATCTGACCGAGACTTTCGATGATGACAATGAGTAGTTGAGTAGTGGTTTTTTCTTCATCTTATCGCCTCTATATTGATGGTTTGGTGGGGTATACGGGTTTCACTAAACCCCTGCACATTTTCTTCTTGATAATAAAGGGTCATATTCAACTATTCATATAAAATTGGCATTTGTTTATTATCAGTTTTTCCTGCACATTTAGGATCTGCATGAGACTGATAGGTTAGAACTTTATGCAAATTGACAATTTTTATTAATTTGATAAAGAAGAACAACAAATACCCTTAGCTCAGCCGTCAAATTCGGCACTGAAAACCTCAAATCCATGACCCTTGAAAATCAGCAACCATCTAAACAAACTAAACATTCACTTCTGTATCTCCACTTATGAAATATCACACATTCCAAGTTGTGTTCTTAGTAATGAGAAATCTCCAATTTATGAGCTTTTGCCATCACACCAGCCACCTGATCATTTGTGCTACAATACACAAGTTCTATATCATGTTCCTTTGCCAGATCCCTAAGAAAATGAAACCTGACAATGATATGTTTGTTCCTCCCATGAAGTACATAATTCTTAGACATATTGATAGTTGAGATGTTGTCATACAACACCTTTATTGCTTCCTTCACACTTTCTTTCCAGACAATTTGTTCCAAAATCTTCCCGAGCCAAACACAGTGTGATGTAGAATAAGAAGCAGTCACAAAAACTTTTGTGGTTGACAAAATAGCCAATGGTTGCTTATTAGAAGCCTAGGAAACAACTCCATCTGCAAGAAAGATTACAAAACAACTAGTGTTTTCCATGTCATCTACATCGCTACCCATAATCACTGTTGCACATACTAACAGATAACCCCCTCCTTCTTCCATTCTTCCATGTCATATTCCATACCCCATACTACCTTTCAGGTACCTCTGAATTCTCTTAGCATCAAGCATGTGTTGCCTCGACTTTCATTAACCTTGTAAGCAAACATACATAATATGTTAAGTCGGGTCTAGTTAGTGTAGTGTAAAGCAGACTTCCACCAAGTTGTGTTAGAAATATAGGGGTTTGGGAAATAATAAAGGATTTGCTTTATTTGGGGATTTGTCCAAATTTGTCGGTTTATTAAGTTTAGGGATTTGGATATTATTTTTGGGGGATTTTAGGCATTATTGGCCTCTTCGGCAAGACGAAGATGTCAGGCTACAACTCGGTAGGGCTGGGGGGCGACTTATGCCAGATGGGCTTGGAGCTCGACAGAGACGAGCGTCGGACTCGAGGTGATGAAGGATTTGGGCCAATGGGCCGAGGAGCGGTCTAGGACCAAGAGATGGACGAGTTCAGCTAGCGGGCCAGGAACAAGCTTGGGCCGAGTTTGAGGCTAGGAAGGGGCCGCTAGGCCTGGTGGGCCAGGCCAATGGAATGGACTGGGCGAACATGGGTTGGAACAATCCAAGTCAAACCTAAACCGGGTAGACCCAAGTCGGACTAACCGGGTTTGGTCTGGTGGGTATGAACCGAACGGGTCATAGCCCAACCATCGTGACAGGGGAAGCATGGTCGAGACAGGACAATTCTGCTCCTAGGAACGCGAAGGAGCAAGCAACGGGGAGTCTTACCCGCCATGGAGGACGACGACAGTCGGCGAATGGCAGGCGGATCGGTAGTGGGTGGTCGGGCAAGTCTCCGAAGCTGGTCAAGGTAACCTCTTTGAGACGGAGGGACGCTAGGCCGCTCTGCCACCACCCGGGCATGACCATCAGCACTTCGAGTCTTCGACCAGCAGAGAGACCGGTCTGGCAGTTTCGAGGACGGTCGGTATGGAGGTAATTACTATACTCATGATGGTTATGATGGTCATGGTGAACCAATCTTTACAACTAAGCCCCCAACCATTGAGTTTCCCAAATTCAATGGGCAAGAGGATGTAGGGTTGTGGATTTATGTTGTTGACAGATGGTTCAAGAACCATGCCACTAAGGAGGACCGGAAGGCGCATCTGGCGTCTTTCTATTTGGAGGGAGATGCATTGTAGTGGTGGGAGTGGATCGAGAGATCATATGCTGAGGCAAGGATTGAGGTCTCTAGGGAACTCTTTAAGGTGGATTTGATATTCCAGTTTGGCCGATCAGAGGGATGGGCACTCGAGTAGCTGGCAAACTGAAGCAGATAGGAACTGTGGCTGAATACATGTATGAGTTTCTGAAGCTAGGCAACATGTGCAAGAGCATTCCAGAGGAGACTATGGTGGGTCTGTGCATGCCAGGACTGAAGGCTGAGATTGCATCAGCAGTCAAGGGGTTTAAACCGGAGTCACTTAGGGTTTCTTTTAGGCTGGCGAGTCACAAGGAAGAGGAGTCGGCTAGTTGGAGGAGTGCGACAGGATGCTGGCAGAAGACAGGAGGAGGCGCGGGTGGAACTGTCGTCGCTGGAGGTGGGACTGGGACAACCGCGACGGTGGCAACCCCTGTGCCGCCGCCACCAGCTCGACCGACACCTCGCTTTCCACCCAAGGGCTTCATAAAGCTGTCACCGGATGAGATCGAGCAAAAGAGGAGGAAAGGTCGTTGCTTCAGCTGCAACTATCAGTTCAGCGTGGGACATGTGTGTTCCAAACCGGAGTTGATGATGGTGGTTGGATGTTGGGAGGATGAGGCTGAAGATTGGGCGGCGGAGGAAGAGGAGGTGAAGAAGAAAAAAGGCGGTTAACCTTGAGGTCAAAGTTGGTTTTAAGGGGGGTGGAATGTTAGAAATATAGGGTTTGGGAAATAATTAGGGATTTTCTTTATTTGGGGATTTGTCCCAATTTGTCAGTTTATTAAGTTTAGGGCTTTGGATGTTCTTTTTGGGGATTTTAGGCATTATTGGCCTATTCGGATTGAGAATTATTCTTTAGTTAGTATAAGAGAATTATTTCAAGTTTATATTTGTAAACCGGGAACAATTTTCATTAAGCAGACTATCATCAAAGATTTACCCTAAACCTAAAACTAATCACTCTCTCACGTCTGACTCCTCCCCTTTCCATAGAGCTTTGGCTCCTTCTCATTCTACCTTCCCCTTGCTTCTTTATCTTTCCACTTCTCAATTCCTTTTATATTATTATTCTCAAATCATCCCCAAATCAAGCCCCAAGAACAAGGTCACCTGATCTTGTTTCTTTCAAGATTCTTATACTCTGTGGCATTTGCTTGAATTTCATCACCAACCTTTGACAACTTAATTCTTGGTGTCATTTGATTATGCACAAAGTTGCATGGTATCATATTGAATCTTTCAAATACTTATCTTATGTACATTTATTGGCTGATGAATATGCCATGTCGAGTTTGAGTAACCTCCACTCCAAATTTATCAAGGTCGGCCATCTCAAACTCATATTGCATAGACTGTTAGAAATCTTCAATTATAACCGACATGTTGTTATATGACTCAATCTTGTTGTACCAATCGCTAGGTGCTTGTTTTAAACATATGATGTTTTTTGAAGATTGTACCGTTTGTTTTCTTCGCCCATAACCACAAATTCTTGTTGTTGAATGCAACACCCCGATATTTTGATTTAGGTTCGACCATAACAAATGAAAGGTTGGATTGACGGTTACGTACGAAGGGTTACAACTATTATTATAACAAAAAAAAAATATTAATCGAAAGGAGACGGCCGAGCGCCCTTATCCCATCCAATTCTCCCTCCCACCCACCCAATTAACTCCCTCCCATCCAATTAACCCCCCCCCCCCACCTCAACCCTTTCACTCGTTTTCCTTTAGCACCGCTGCAGCACCTCGAAACCCCAAACCCGCTTCCGCACTCGTCCCCAATCCCCACAACCACGACGAACCCTTTTCCCCATCGCGAGAGACAGAAGCAAGTAGCGGAAAGAAAAGGATTCATGTCCCCTGTTCCTTGTCCCTCGCACGCCAGTTCCCACGAACTAGACACACGTTCAGGTGTTTTGCGTTTCTCTAACATCACAGGGGTTTGAACATCGATCGACGAGGAGATCAACGTCCCGAGCCATCCGATCTAGTACTAGGTTCGTTCTAAAGGTAAGAGAACTCGATCCCTTCTAGTTAGATCGGTCATTTTAGTGATTTTTTGTGAGGTTGCAATTCTGGATTTTAACGACGGGTTTTACAGGTTGTTAGTTACCGTTTTGATTGGTCACTAAGGTTGCAGAAAATTTCCAGAAATGTTATTGAAGTTCTAAAAATGATTTTGGGCATCTTCAGAAGTTTATTCTAGGTTTTACAATTCTCAAAATTGAAAGAGGTCTAGTAGATGCATGTGATTTAATTTGGATATTTTTGAAGATGAATTACTAATTTTAGAAATTAGTCTAATGTTGATTTTAACTAAATAAAATTCATGTCGAGGTGTTTTTAAGGAGGTTCAAGCTAGGTGAAAAAAATCGTCCAAGATAAATTAAGTAGGAAAAAGGATCGGTTTTGAAGGGATTATTTCTAGAGAATTTTTAAAGGGGGTTAAGGGATCTTTAGAATGAAGTTCGAGGATGAGACTTTGAGGAGAGGGTGTTCTGGTAGGTAAAAGGGGGGTTTTAAATCGAGAAAGGTCGTTTAAGAAAATAAATTTCTTATTAATAGGTTTCTCGAGATAATTCGGCTAATGAGGGATTTCTTCGAGTAAGAAATTGATGAGCATCTTTTCGAGGTGAGTGTAAAGGGGGTAAAATCTTCGTCGAGGTTTTTTAGTTTATGCTTTTAGTTTCAAGTTATGTTAGTTATTTTCGAGTTATGTGCGATTAAAGTTTGAGGTACCCCACCGCCTTCTGAAGGTGGAGGCACGCATCGTGCTATGTATGTGAATGTATGTTTGTGATGTATGGATGATGGTAAGATGAACCCCTGGGCGGTTGGGCCACTACTGGGCGCAGTAGATGGTCAGATCACTGCTGGACGGTGATACGTAATGCATCAGTTGATCGAGAATTTGGGTCACTATTGGACAGTGATACGTAACGCAGTAGTTGACCGGACATGGGTTGGACGGCGAGATGTAACGCATCGCCCTTTCCAAGTTTGGGTATGCAACCGAATGGTGAGACGTAACACGGTTGGCATACCAAGGTAGGGACACTAGACGGCTAAATGTAATGCGGTGGTCCCTCGTATTGATGTCTAT